CGAAAAAGGAGTAGTAGAGGGGATATATAAATGCTAAAATGTGCAGTTCCTTGGAGGTATCTAAGAACCCGTTTTACCACTTGCCAATGCTTGGTGGTACGGTGATGCATAAATTGTGCTGGTTTATTAACGGAAAAATTGATATCTGGGCAGGTGAATGAGAGATATTGTAGAGCGCCAAGCACACTGCGGTAGGTAATAATATCACACGGAGAAGAACCATCATGGAGGGAGAGAGTCTCACCCGTGGAGAGAGGAGTCGGTATGGGAGTTGCAGTATCCATATGAAGCTTGCGTAGCAAGTCTGTGGTGTATTTATTTTGTGTGAGAAAAAGACCCTTGGAGGTGCGGGTGGCTTCCAGACCCAGAAAATAAGAAAGTGAGCCAAGGTCCTTGAGTGAAAATCACTGAGTAAGAGCTTCAATGCATGAATTAAGAACCTAGGAATTGTTTCCTGTAATAATGATGTCGTCGACATACACTAAAGGTAGACGAGAGTGCCATGGGACGAGAAAATAAATAAAGAGGCATCACACTTGCTGTTCTTAAAACCTGCATGGAGAAGATTGTTTTCAACTTACAATACCAGGCACGTGGCGCCTGACGGAGACCATAGATTGTCTTGTGAAGAAGTGATGAGGGACTTTGGGATCAACATAACCTGGAGGCTGCTGCATGTAAAATGTATCCTTTAAGGTTCCCTGCAAAAAAACATTATTGATGTCAGGTTGGCGAATGGGCCAACTGTGCATGACGACAAGGGTGAGTATAAGACGAACGGTGGCCGGTTTGACAACCGGACTAAAAGTATCGGTGAAATCAACACCCAGACGTTGATGAAATCCTTTGACAACCAAACGCGCTTTGTAGCAAGCCAAGGAATCGTCCGGATTTCGTTTAACCCGATAAACCCATTTGCACCTAATAACAGTTTGTGTGGTAGAAGGAGGAACAAGAGACCAAGTACGATTACGAAGTAGGGATTGGTATTCATCATGCATGGCCTGACACCACTCGGGGCTAGTGGATGCTTGTTTGTATGAGGTGGGTGTGGGAGGTACGTGAGTATGAAAGACATATTGTGGGTTGGGTTTATAGATTTGGTTCTGGGAACGGGTTACACGTTTGTGTATGGCGGGTGGTGATGGAATAGGTGTAGTGGGTGGGGAAATTGGACGTTGACTAGAAGGAGAAATAGGATCTGATGGTGGGGTAGAGTGAGGAGAAGATATGGAATTATTGGGTTGTATGGGAGAGGTTTGATGTTGTACAGGAGGGTGGATAGGCAGTAAGGTGGTATGGGGAATAACTAGTGTGAGGGAATGGGTATTCTGGAGTGGATCAGAAGTTTGTGATTGAGGGGTGGTGATTGACTCACACGGATATGAAGTATTTGGGTTAGGGTATTTTTTAAGAATAGGTGAAGTGCATTGTTGTTTGTGAGGGAGGCTTATTAGTGATGAAGGGGAAGAGTGATTCAAAAAATAATACATGCCTAGACGTAAATATTTTACGGCTCTTAGGTTCTAGGCATTGATGAGCATGGTGGGTGTTGGGAAAATCAAGATAGACACACGGTTGGGAGCGGGGTTGAAGTTTGTGTGTTGTGTAGGGGCGTAACCATGGGTAACACATACAACCAAAAACTTTAAGAGATTTATAGTCGGGTGAGTCATTAAATAATTTCTCATATGGGCTAACATGATTTAGGAGTGGTGTAGGCATGCGATTAATCAAATATGTAGCATGTTGAAAAGCATATGGCCAATAATATAGGGGAATATTTGCATGAAATAGAAGAAAGAAGGTTGTTTCTACTATATGACGATGTTTACGCTCGGTTGTGCCTACATGTCCAGGTGTATAGGGTGGAGATATAAGATGTTTTATTCCATGAGTAGCAAGAAGAGAAGTGAGAGATTTGAATTCAACACCACCATGAGTATATAGTGTGCGTATTCTTGTGTTAAAATAATTTTCAATGAGAGTGCAAAAATTATTAAAAACAGAATACACGTCAGATTTATTTTGTAAGGGATATAGCCATGAGTATTTTGTGTAATAATCAACAAAGATAACATAATATTTGACATTATTAACAGCAGAAACAAGAGGTGGTCCCCAAACATCAGAATAAATGTATTCAAAGGGACTTGTACATTTTATTGATGAAACTGAAAAAGGTAACTTATGACTTTTGGCCTTGAGACAAGGAGAACAAATAAATGGTTTAGAAATAGACTTTATTTTATGTGTGGAAAGGATTTTATTTTGAGTGGAGGAGGCTGGGTGTCCAAGTCTTTCATGCCATAATTGGGAAGTGACGAGAGTTGCACTAGGTGGTGAAGAGGACCATATATAAAGATTATTTATACTCCGGCCTTGCGCCAAGGATGCTCCTGTCTTTAGATCCTTCACAATAAAATAATCCGGTAAGAATTCAATTGAGGTATTATTTTGTCTGCAAAATTGGTTGACTGAGATTAGGTTACGACGGATGAGAGGTGCACACAAAACATCATTAAGCGTAAAGTTTTTATCAGATGAAACAATACCCGAGGTTCCAATGTGAGAGATTGGAACACCATTGCTGTTACCCATATTTACTGAATCGCCACCATTATAGTCTGAGTGAATTGCCAGATTATTCAGATCAGAGGTAATATGGTGCGTTGCACCTGTGTCTAGCCGCCAGTTTGCATTATTGCCAGAATCATGAAATCCATCTGCTAAGTGTGCAGCAGGTAAAGGTGCATTCCTGGAATAGCATTGGCGAGCAGTATGGTCCACTTTGTTACAAAGTTGACAGATGGGTCGTTGAGAGTTGAAACCAGAGGAAGGTCTGGGAGATTCTTTGCCTTGATAGGATGAGGAGCCACCTTGAGAGGAGAAGTTTCTGTTGGTCTGAGATCGACCACGATTCCCATGCCCGCGATCACCACGACCTTTATTGTTGTTGTTGTTGTTGTAGCCATGCCTTTGTGTATAGTGTGTGCTGTGACCGGCATTTCAGGGAGGTCACCGGCCAACATCTCAACATGAAGAAAGTGACTGTGGAGATCTTCAAACGAAAGAGGTACAAGAAGTATACAAATGCTCCAACCGTTTCCTTATATTCGGAGCCAAATCCGGTGAGAAGATAGGATATTATTTGTCCATCTAGAAGAGGATGACCTATGGTGATCAGGTCATCAATGAATCCTCTCATGATAGTAAAGTATTCCATAACTGTTTTTCCAACCTTTTGGTAGTAGCAAGGCTGTTTAGAAGAGAAAGCATCCGGGTGGTGGATTTGTTGGCAAAACTAGACTCCGATTTTCGCCAAGCTTGAAAAGAGGACGTGCAGCTATTTATGATGGGGCTGACTGTGTTGGAGACAGTAGATTGAATAGCTAGCAGAACAAGCCGATCCTCTCTTGACCAAAATTTATACTCCGGAGCGGTGGAGTTGGGCTTGACGTTGGTGCCGTCTACATAACCCAGTAGATCGTAGCCATAGAGAAGGTTGGTTATTTGCGCTTTCTAGGATGAGTAGTTGTTGTCATCCTGAGAAAGTTTAAAGGTAGATTCTATGGTACCCATAAGGTACCGTACCTTTGTCCACATGGACCAATGAGAATGTAACAGTTGAATTATTTAAATCTAAATTAAAAATGATAAAGTGGTGTGGTCCAATCAAATGAATGGTAGATACGGTACCCCATTTTTTAGAAGGGTACCGGAGTTGTCACCAAGTTTAAATGGTATTTGAGAGGAGGCATTAAGAGAAATGAGTTGAGGGTTGGAAACAACATCAAGTGGGATAGAAGATGAAGTTCCAAAGGTTATTGTGTGTGAATTACTCATTTGATTGTGGGCGATTCAAAGTTTGAGATGCTGACTTTTGGTTGCATCGTGCAGTAGCTTTTACTGCTGCTCTGATACCATAAAGGATGAATTACACAACACAAATAATATGCAGAGGTTTAGAACTTGAAGCTTGATTATTATCTCATTCGTACATGTATTTATACTAGCTATACAACCTATACTAGACTAGGTTGTTGAGAGATCCATATTTAGTGGAATACTCCCGTAGGATTTTAAACCAACCGTAAGACTAGATATAGTTTAACAATAATACATATCATTATATTATCTAACATAAAATATTAATATACATAATATAGAAATTGCCCAATATAGGAGTAAACATAAACATAATTGCACAAATAGGAGTATAACTTAAAACTTCCTTCAATAGGAGTAAACATTAATTTTGTACCCTTAATATCCCTAACCTAGTTAATTCTAAAATGTGACTTATTTAATCTTAACCTAGTTAATTTATGACTTATTCGATAATAATAATAATTCATTTATTTATTTATTTTTCAAAAAAAAATATTTTTTTTAAAAAAATAAAAAACTCAATAAAATAAAATAAAATTCACCACCGCCTCTGCCGCCTCTGCACCACCACCTCCAGTCACCAGGTAAAAAAATGCCAAGTTCATTACGAATGCCATATTTATGGCAGAAAATAATGAAAAAGTTGGCATTCACAAAGAGAAATATGCCATGTTTTTGGCATTTTTCAGAAAAAATTGGCAGTTTTTAGGAAAAATGGAATTTTTTTCACCGCCCGGAGGTGATGGTGCAGGAAGGTAGTACAGGTGGTGAGAAAGACATCCATAGTTTTTTTTTGTTTTTTTATGGAGTTTTACTATTTTTTTATTAATTTTTTAAAAAACTAAAAAATTAAATTTTTTATTTTATTAATATTTTATAAATTTTTTAATTATTTTTCTACGAATTTTTGATTTTTTTTCGAATTTATTATGAATTAAATATTTAATTAAAAGTTGTTGGGGCTTAGGGCTTGGGTAGGGGTATACTTGTCCAAACACTAAAGTTACTCCTATTCAAAACATGATACTCCTATTTTTGCATTTTGCCTATGTTTTGCTCCTATTTGGGGAATTCTCTCTACATAATATTATCTAACAGTTATTAATACCCTGAATTGTGTTCTTCGAAATGGTGTTCACCAAAATAATGCATATTCTCTAAATGATAATTACACCAAAAAAAGGATACATATATAAAAATAGATTCGATTTATAGTTAGCCACGGTGTTCAAGTTGCATTGCCTTTCGAGTGTTTATCATGAAGGTCGTTCTCTGCTTTGGGTTTTTTGGGCTTCACACAAGCAGATATGACCCCCAAAACAATAACACCATTCAGCACCACTAAGGCCAGTAGCAAAAAATGGAATGGATCATTTGCAGCACCCCTAACTGTGGCAACCAATCCGGCTTTGCAAGAATCACAAGTGTAGCAAAGTTGTGTTTGGGTATTGCTCCATTTAGCGCAATCCCCGTCTGCTCCCGGGTTTATTTCCGCTATCCAATTTGTTGCGTTCACAAATTGGAACTCACACGGTGTTGGCGGTTTGCAACATCCTGACTACAATGTAGATTTTAGGAGTAAAATACACATAAACAGACAATAACATAAGAGACTGCATCAGATCTGAAAATTTCATTCATTTTCAAAACACTTTTGTGCCAAAATTAAATTTTTACTTATAATTTATGTAGTTTCATATTGTTACACACTTATAATTTGTCATCCGTAAATTAAATTTGATTGCTTCATAATCATCGCTAAAATGTGTCTTATTTGTCATCTTGATCAAATGAGTTAAAACTTAACCAATATTTTTACTCATTTATTTGCGTGTGAGTTCTATAGTAGGGGTCTAGGTAATGTAACTTTATGTTGGACACTATTCATTTGCCTATAAAATGCGATCAATTTACTCAAGGAAAAGTCGGTTGAACTTTTTCAAATGCGCTTCTTTGAATAATTTGGTCCTTAGGGATATCATTAGAAGAAGAGGTTACCATGTTTTTCAAATGTCATTATTTACTTAAAGAGGACACATGTTACTAGTAATTAACATTGTTATTGGTTAGTAGTATGTGAAGTGGTAACCATGTTTTTTATAAGTAAAATGGCATTATTATTTTTTACAAATTTTTGGTGTTCTTCTTTTTGTGTTCTCTTTTCAAAATGAAGAAGAACCCTAACAGCAAGAATATCACACGAGCACTCTAGATCAAACATTTTTCAAAACGTTTAATGCGATTAGTGCACTCCATGGCTACATTCAAGGATATTTTTACCACTCATTTAAAAAAGTTCTTTACAATTTTTTAAATGAAAACAAGACTTATCATTCATCTCAATATATCTATCAATGCATAGATCAAGTAACATAAATTAGATCAAAATAGATTTAGTCACGCATTAAACCAAATCAAATTATATCAGACTCAGATAGTTAGAAAATACAAATAAATCAAACAAATACCACAAGATATACTCAAACAATTTAATTCAAATTAGATCACTTCAAACATATTAAACGAGACAAACATAAGAACGTTGTAGTTTTTCCAAGTACATCTTATATCACTTTTATATGTGTGAAATCCTATATAAATTTACTCCGTATTATAGTACTGACTTTGAATGCTTATACTCCCTCCGTCCCTAAAAATTTGTCCTAGTTTGACTTCACAAGTTTTAAGGAGATGAATTTGACTTTACACTATATTGACACTGTTTCACACTGTAACGACACTGTTTGGCACTGTCTGACACTGTTTTGCACTGTTTGACACTGGTATAGATTTGTTTACTAAATAAGGAAGTTGAAAAAGTAGGACAAACATTTTGGGACATCCGTTTCGGAAAAGTGTGACAAACTTTAAGGGACGGGGGTAGTAATAATTATACTCCCTATCTCGTTCAATATTTTGTCATGTTTGACCGGCATGTGAAATAATAAAGTAAAAACTGTGTGATTGAGATATGTGCAGAGGAGAGACAAATAACAGGAATCACAAATTCATTGATTAAAAAGAAAAGTGACAAAGTTTTTGGAACATCCAAAAAAGGAAAGATGGTAAGTTTATAAGAGACAGAGAGTATTCAATTTTACCCTTTAGTTTTTCTTCAACTATATAGGAAAAAATATATTTAAAAAACTTATAAGAGGGAAGTTACGAAATACTCCCTCCGTCCCCTTTTAAATGTCCCGGAAGAGGGTGGCACGAGTTTTAAGAAAAATAGGTTTGTGTGGTTGATATTAATAGATAAAGTAAGAATAAAGTAAGAATAAAGTAAGAATGATTTTGAGTCACACAAACTTTACCAAATAAGGTATGAGACAATTAAATAGGGACATCCCAATATGGTAAAATGGGACATTTAAAAGGGGACGGAGGGAGTAGTCGCCATAGCAAACTATGAGTCCGTTTGGTAACCCTGTTTTTGGCATATCAGGTTTATCAGTCAATTTTTTCACCAAACACGTAACTTTTGATTTCGCGCGTTGAATTGTTTTCTCATGTAATTTTTCTTTATTTCATTAATAAATATATTTTAAATATAATTTTTTTTCATAAATAAGGAGAATCAGTCAATCCAACCATTTCAATAAGAACTTCGTGGATTTAAACAAAACTATTAAGATTCGGCTATTACCAAACCTCCAAAGGAAAAACCTGAAAGGGGGTGAGAGTGGCATTGAAGAAATCTTGAGCCATGGGGTATTTCTGACTCAAAACAGCACAGTTATCAGAAGATCCAAGACATCCCACGACACTATCCCACTCATTGGTAACCTGCCGGCGAAGCCAACCGGGGATGCCGCCGCCGTCGACATTGAGATGGTATTCAGAGTACGTCCTGCTCGTCGCCACCGCGCCGGAATCTTTAATGGCGCTGAGCTTGTACATAAAAAACCCCAAGCATGCCACCCATATGATGAGAAGAATCATGGATACCCAGTAAGCTAAGAGAAGCCATTCGATCATCCCCTTCTTATAACAGCAAAACAGTACGCATCCAATCACGCTTGCTGCTACTATGAGAGCTCCCAGGAAGAAGAGTTGTGAAGATTGGGAAATATGGAAACATGGAAACTGGTCTATTTTGCTTTCAAGCCTAGTCCGGGCTAGGAAGATGATGATGAATGCAGAGATTATCCCCCCTAATAAGATTATAAATCCTGTCACTTTGTGTGTTCTTCCTGCCATTTCTTCAGGCCTTCTGATCTTTGTTGCCAATGCTGTAATGAAGAAGTCTATCTATATACTCCGTAATTGTATTGGGATTCCTTTTTTTTAATCTGATTCTTGCTTCACCTCTGTTTTTGCTCTTACTTACTTGACCCGGTTTCACTTAGCTAGGCACTAGGTCCACTCTACGGTCCTCCAGGCTAATGTTATTTGGGAATTAGGCTATCTTAGCTACTCCATCTAGATTAAATATTATTGATTGTAATTAAGGGAAAATACTCACGACTAAAATATAGAATATCATGAGTTTCAATATTTTTAGTTTACAAATTTAAACATCATTTAATTTTATAAACAACTTTAATTGTATTTAAGAGTTATATTAAATTTAATTTAACAAATATTAATGTGAGGGACATATAGTGAGAATGACCAAAACTCAAGGGGTAACTAATTGATTTTTAAAAATGCAAGGTTGCATTAATAATTATGAGATAATCTCTGCAGGTTGTAGTAATTTTCCCATTATTATATCTATGATTTTATGAATTGTGCCTTGGTAAAGTTAAATTTACATAGTTCATCGGTCTCTTTTAATTCTAGTACTAGTATGCCCTTTTCATTTAAAAGGTGTGTTTATTTCCTTTAATGAAAATAAGCTCTGATTGATATCATTTATTTTTTAACAAATATGAAATATCAATAACATATTTTTTGGATTCAAAACTTTGCCGACAAAAATAATGTGTAAAAAACATGAAAGTACCTTATCAAATAGGACTTCGTTTGGGAAGTGAGTTTTTTTGGGTATTCTAGCCTCAATGTTTGAGTCTATCTATTTTGAATGTAATGTTATTTATTTTAGGCAAATAAGTAAATAAATAATGATATTGGTTAACTGTACTATAAATCTATACTGTAATGCATTATATGCATGGTACCTACAATTATTTAATTATTACTCGGTATATATCAGTCCGTATACGGTGCAACCGGTGCATGGTGAGCATCATGCTCCCATGACTATATGAAATGTAACTCGTGTGATTCCACATGTAACTTGAAGTTAATCAAAATGTAAATTACACTCATTCATATGTAACTCGTTGAAATGAAAGCTGTTTTAATTGAAATGCAACTTGAAAACAAATTAGATGTAACTGTGTATATGTAACTTTAGGCAAATCTTGATATAACTTGAGTATACCTAACATGTAAATTGAGGAAGATATAAAATAATTCATAATAGTCATCTTCAACAAAACAACGCTCAATTGATCGATTCTGGTTTTGATGAGTCTCCAAACCCAATCGAGTAAAAACAAATCGAGTCTCCTACGACAAAGATGACGACCAGCCCCTGCGACGAAGATGGAAGCCAGTCCCTTGCGACGAAAATCGCGACCAAACCCTGCGACGAAGATGGAGATCAGCCTTCATCCTTCTTCTGCATCGATTCGGCGTAAATTTTGTTCTGCGACTTGGGTTGTGCGGTGGGGCACAACGGTTGGGGTGGTTGGAGGGGTGTCTAGGGCTTGGAAGGGTTTGGACCGCAGGCGGAGGATGGAGTTTTGGGACCGGGCACACCATCCTCATAGTGCGCCGGTCGTATGGTATAATTTGCGGTTATATATTACTCCCTTCGTCCATTAAAACTTTCCCAACTTCCCTTTTTTGGTTGTTCCAAAAACTTTGCCACTTTCCCTTTTAATCAATCAATTTGTGGCTCCTGTTATTTCTCTCTCCTCTGCACGAATCTCTACCACACAGTTTCTACTTTATTATTCTATGTGTCAGTCAAACTTGGCAATCCTTTTAGGGACAGAGGGAGTAAGAAGGTATCATCGCAACTCGCAATCACCTTTTTTTTATACTCACTATAGATAAAAATACTATTCCCTCCGTCCCGGTGGACTTTGCCAAGTGGAAAGTAAGTGAGAAATAAGAATAGTAAAAAAATGTGTGGCTGAAATTTGTGCAGAGAAGAGAGAAATGTACAGAACCACAAATTAATTGCTTTAGTAGAAAAATGGCAATTTTTTTGGGACAACAAGAAAGAGAAAATTGGCAAAATCAATGTAACGGAGAGAGTATAGCGTAAAAGAAGGGAGGTAGAATAGATACTCCGGATACTTTACGCAAGTACATATATAATGATTAATTAAACATTAAAAAGAGTCTCTAGCAGCTTTTAGAAAATAATAATATCTAGTTATGATCAATGAGTACTTCACAATTAGTTAACAATTACTGTACTTTTCCCTCGACCTTAATTACGCCCACCCTATTACGTCGAGTCTACAATATATGAAACTAATGTAACAAAGTTGCATTTATAGTAATTGTAAATTTACCCGCACGGGTAGCTCAGGTGGTCGAGTGGTGGGAAAATTGGACCAAGTGACCAAGGTTCCAAACCCGCAGCGACCGTGTGGGGGTTACAGAACCTGAAATAAGGTTGGACCTCTGGTGCGCAAGTGTATAAGGCCTACCGCCGCTTTGCTGACTGAGTCACCGTGATTAACTCCCCCACCATTCTGTCGGGTCGTGGTGGGGGGCTCCCGGGGTGGGAGATTCCACCTTTTGGACCAAATAGTAAATGTAAATCGAAGCATTTCGCTCTATAACTATAGTGGGCGTACATTTGCGGTGAATCTATCGATCCCAACTATTACCTTCGTTCCTATTATAACTTCCAAATAGGTTTGGCACACAATTTAAGATAGTGAGTATTGTGTGGTGGAGAGTTGTGCAGAGGAGAGAGAAATGTGTAAGAAATGTTGTGAACCACAAATTCTTTACCAAAAAGGGAAAATGAAAATTTTAATTGGAATAGACGAAAAAGGAAAGTTTGAAATTATAATAGGAACGAAGGGAGTAAATGCAAATCAAAATGACATTCTTTTTAGATAGATTCTATGGTACACTTAAGGTACCATACCTTTGTCCACATGCACCAATCGGAATGATGCAGTTAACAATTTTTTTACTGCAAATGACAATTTTGCTTGACGATGACAATATAACTATATAATGTCAATATGCCTTCATGATGGTAGTACAATAATGGCATAGTGATGACATTACTTGCCGGAATTCATCAATGTTTGCCGGGACGTGACAGTTGTGCTCACTGATCACCGATGGCTAGCTAGCTGCAGTGAGGAAGTCCTTGAGGTTGCTTGATTCTAATTTTGGATTGTTCAATAATTATTTGGTCGAAAAGGTGGAATCTCCAATCCCAGGAGCCCCCCACCTCGACCCGGCAGGATGGTGGGTGAGTTAATCACGGTGACTCAGTCAGCAAAGCGGCGGTAGGCCTTATGCACGTGCGCACTAGAGGTCCAGCCTTATTTCAGATTCTGTAACCTCCACACGGCCAATTGTTCAATAACTATAAGAGTAGTTGTGGGCTGGTAATTTTTTGTCCAATTTTCTATTACTCCCTCCGTCCCAGAAAATTCTTCCCAGTTTGACTTGGCACGCATATTAAGAAACTGAAATAAAGTGAAAATGTATGGTTGTAGTTGTGTAAGAAAAAGTGAAATGAATGTGAACCACACAAATTGTCCAAAAATGGTAAGTGGGAATAATTTTTTGGGATGACCCAAAAAGGAAAGTGGGTAGAATTTTATGGGACGGAGAGAGTATAAAACTTTAATTGCTTGAGTAAGACTGTTGTTTATAAACATTAGTAAGACTATTTTGATCCATCATATACATACATATTTTACTCTCATTTTGAAATTTATGAAATAAATATAACTCTTTGGAGAAAATTAATAACTCTATATATTTTAGTCCATAAATGTATCTTTATTTTTTACAATAGTGTTCCTTTTGAAATCGGAAAGGAATGTGGGATATTTTTAAATCCAACCCCTACAACTCTAGAGAATATCGGTCTTTTGTTTTTTTTTTGGAAAAAGGAGGATTTTATTGAAAGGAAAAAGTAGAATGCGAGAAAGGAAGTAAAAGAAAATGTACATAAAAAGAAAGGAAACAAAATAAAAGCTACTCCCAAGGGAAATCTCTGGACTAGGATTTAGTCCTCATGTTGTGACACCTTTTTTTAGATTTCCTATAGATCTTCAATTGCGTGTTGAGGATGTCTTTTGGGAGACTATTTTTAGAGGTTACAAAATTTGCTTTGCAGCAAATTGCATTTTTGAATTTGTATTTCCCGATTTGTTCGGGGTATGAAATAAGAGGAGCACGATCGCTTTCAGTTGTATGTCCTAGAAAGTCATTTCTGTAAAAAGAGTCATCTAAATAATCAAAACTGTTAGAGGTGTCTGAATAGGCCCAAATCCATGTTGATGAAACGGTTAGCAACACAAGAGCGGGGGGGGGGGGGGGGGGGGGGGGGATGAATTGTGTGTGTGTGGAACCGTGACAGTTTTTCGCACAGTTCTAGTGTGGGGTTCAGGGAAATGCGAAATATTAAAGTGCACAAGGATTTAACTAGGAAAAATCCCTTGGCTCAAAGGTATTAAAAAACCTCGACCTCCCTCGTAGGAATTTGAACAACTCCACTAAAAAGCCTTTGAATGATTACAAGGGAAACTCTCATAGTCTACCCTTGAGCCACCCCAACTCTATCCTCTCTAGGAAGAGTTATGCTTCTCTACCTTGCGGGTAGAGAGCCTCTCAGCTTTACAACAAAGTTCTCACAACACATAAACCAACCCGAGAATGCTACACTTAGCCAATCCTCAAAACCCCTAATACAATATGAAGAAGGGAAAAAGAAACTCTATCTAGAACTCTGTGAGTAGTTTCAGGTGCCTTGAACTTTTATATTTCTTCGGTCAATATTTCTCTCAATAGCAATCTCGTTCAAGCACACCTCTTCTTCTCTTGATCTTCGGCATACATAAACCACTTTTATTTATCTGTTGGTGTATCTCTTTCTTTGAGTAATTGAGCTTCCATACTTGGAACTTGCCATGATATTATTTGAATTACTTTCCTTCCAGTATCTCTCGTTCTCAAATATGAGTAAATTGACTCATGATTCACGAATCATCATGTAAGGAAATAATATTGATTTACTTACCATGTAGGCATGCAATGTGTAAGGAATAAATTGTAGTTAGATTTTGATGATGCTAAGTTAATGAGGAT